AAACAATAAAATGAAAACATTCTATTTATGCATTATATTATTTTAAAACATTTTATCTACAAGTGTTTTGTGTCTTACCTTAGCTGCAAGAATCCTTTCCCAACTTTTGGTTTGAGTGCTAGTGTTATGAAAGGATACTGTAACAAAGTATTTTCTTATCATTACATGATATCATTGTTTCAATTGTCTATTGATTCAATAAAATAATTTCAGATGTTACCAAACCATATTTTCCCCACGGGTCTGTGAGACAGGGATAACTTAGTTATTCATCATAACAGTGGCAAACTTAACTAACAAATAGTTGTATTTAAATATATACTTCCATGTTAAAATTTTATTTTTGGACAAATGCATCATTGTTGGTTAAATGTATAATATTCTATTGTATTTGACATTATATTCATTACAATAAAGAAAATTTACCTTAATTTTAAAGTCCTTGTCATGGCTTGCTCCCTTCTGTTTCAAATCTGAAAAGAATGACTGTTTTGTAACTAGCTGCTATTTTTTTTCTGTATAGAAATAATATCGACTATCATTTAACAAAACATTGTTACATTCAACCCTTGGATATACCATCATAATGATAGAATATCTTACACGGAGTGTTTTACTGTTCCTAGCCAGAGTCAAGTGTGACAGTGAGTTCCGTTCACACATCGGCTTTGGTAGGGTCCTATGTATTCTTTGATAGTTAACAATATACATATTGACTGGTTGATGTACTCACATTATAATGGAAGATGACCAGGATCATCATTTGAATTCTCCCATAATATTGTACCTGAGAATAATATTGTAGTTATTATTATTCATTCAATGTTTTGTTTGTAAATGGTACAGTATAGTGGATATCAGTGAATTTGGTAAGATTGAAATCATGTAGATCATACGAACGAGACAATTATTACATCACTTAAAATGGACAGAAATGTATGAAGAATTATAAACAGTTGTTAAAGGTCAAGAACTAATCTATTATTTTTATATGTTTTATGTATATATTATTTATGTATATATATATATATATATATATATATATATATATATATATATATATATGTAGGAAGAGAATGGAGTTCCTACTAACTTAATAATAGTTTAGTCTAGGGACCGAATTATAGCACTGGAATAATAATTAATTCGTTTACACAATTTAATTATCCAAAACGTCTAGGTTAAGCAAGCAAAGTGCATCTGGTGCACCGAGCCACGTAAGAGCGAAGACTTCCTGTTGAATAATAAAGTGTTGACACGTTCCAAGTGTGGACGCGTGCGGCGGGTGCTGATACAACACCACGCCGCCGCACGCATATGTGTGTGTATACCTAATCTGTAGGGTATTCACACGATGCGTAATTAATTACATAACTTATGGTTAACTTTATTTAGAAGTATTAATATTTAGGTTATATTAATTTTTATTGTGTCATATATGATCGTCAAATATCACGTCCTCAAGTATCGATAGTAATTCACCAGTCACCCTGTATATCACATTTACGTATCATATCTATTTAATAAGATTCACAGTTTATTGTGAAAGAGATATGAAACATGAAAAAAAAACACAAATGTAATACAGAATTCACAAAGTTTTTCGTAATATAACGTTATTTATATTTTCAATAAAAATCTCATCAATAAGTCAGCAGCCTGGGCGATGACAATAATCATCATAATTTGTGTTCAGACGAAAGAAATAAGACAATGTAATGATTACTAGCTATTTAAGTTACGTAACAACCGATGCAACGTCGAACACATCCTTTTTTACCAATATTAAACTTTTGAATAACCGTTATACATTAAATGAGTCAATTACACTCACATTTGATATGCTTTTCCTGTGATGCAAAATGCTTACGTTGAAAAGTTGCGGGATCTGAAAAAAAACATTTATATATTAGAAAATATCCCTCAAAAAAAATAAATAGTATCAGCACGAGATTCTGTATATTTTCAGTAAAAACCAATCATCAATAAGTCAGCCTGGGGCGGTTACAATAATCATCATAATTTGTGTTCAGATGAAAGAAATGAGGCTATGTAATGATTACTTGCTATTTAAGTTACTTAACAACTGATGTACATCGAACACATCCTTTTTTTTACCATTATTTAACTTTTGAATAATCGTAATACATTAAATGAGTCAATTACACTTACATTTGATATGCTTTTCACGTGATGCAAAATGCTTTTGTTGAAAAGATGGGGGATCTGAAAAAACATTTATATATTAGAACATATTCCCTCAAAAATAAATAGCATCAGCATGAGATTCTGTATATTTTCAGTAAAAACCAATCATCAATAAGTCAGCCTGGGGCGGTTACAATAATCATCATAATTTGTGTTCAGATGAAAGAAATGAGGCTATGTAATGATTACTTGCTATTTAAGTTACTTAACAACTGATGTACATCGAACACATCCTTTTTTTACCATTATTTAACTTTTGAATAATCGTAATACATTAAATGAGTCAATTACACTTACATTTGATATGCTTTTCACGTGATGCAAAATGCTTTTGTTGAAAAGATGGGGGATCTGAAAAAAACATTTATATATTAGAACATATTCCCTCAAAAATAAATAGCATCAGCATGAGATTCTGTATATGTTCAGTAAAAACCAATCATCAATAAGTCAGCCTGGGGCGGTTACAATAATCATCATAATTTGTGTTCAGATGAAAGAAATGAGGCTATGTAATGATTACTTGCTATTTAAGTTACTTAACAACTGATGTACATCGAACACATCCTTTTTTTACCATTATTTAACTTTTGAATAATCGTAATATATTAAATGAGTCAATTACACTTACATTCGATATGCTTTTCACGTGATGCAAAATGCTTTTGTTGAAAAGATGGGGGATCTGAAAAAACATTTATATATTAGAACATATTCCCTCAAAAATAAATAGCATCAGCATGAGATTCTGTATATTTTCAGTAAAAACCAATCATCAATAAGTCAGCCTGGGGCGGTTACAATAATCATCATAATTTGTGTTCAGACGAAAGAAATGAGACGATGTAATGATTACTTGCTATTTAAGTTATTTAACAACCGATGCAACATCAAATACATCTTTAATTCTTTATTGTACATTCATTTACTTGTGAATAATAAACTGAGCGAAACAATAAAATGAAAACATTCTATTTATGCATTATATTATTTTAAAACATTTTATCTACAAGTGTTTTGCGTCTTACCTTAGCTGCAAGAATCCTTTCCCAACTTTTGTTTTGAGTGCTAGTGTTATGAAAGGATACTGTAACAAATTATTTTCTTATCATTACTTGATATCATTGTTTCAATTGTCTATTGATTCAATTAAATAATTTCAGATGTTACCAAACCATATTTTTCCCCACGGGTCTGTGAGACAGGGATAACTTAGTTATTCATCATAATAGTGGCAAACTTAACTAACAAATTGTTGTATTTAAATATATTTATATGTACCATGTTAAAATTTAATTTTTGGACAAATGCATCATTGTTTGCTAAATGTATAATATTCTATAAAGAAAATTTACCTTAAATTTTAAGTCCTTGTCATGGCTTGCTCCCTTCTGTTTCAAATCTGAAAAGAATGACTGTTTTGTAACTAGCTGCTTTTTTTTCTGTATAGAAATAATATCGACTATCATTTAACAAAAATGTTACATTCAACCCTTGGATATACCATCATAATGATAGAATATCTTACACGGAGTGTTTTACTGTTCCTAGCCAGAGTCAAGTGTGACAGTGAGTTCCGTTCACACATCGGCTTTGGTAGGGTCCTATGTATTCTTTGATAGTTAACAATATACATATTGACTGGTTGATGTACTCACATTATAATGGAAGATGACCAGGATCATCATTTGAATTCCCCCATAATATTGTACCTGAGAATAATATTGTAGTTATTATTATTCATTCAATGTTTTGTTTGTAAATGGTACAGTATAGTGGATATCAGTGAATTTGGTAAGATTGAAATCATGTCTATCATACGAACGAGACAATTATTACATCACTTAAAATTGGACAGAAATGTATGAAGAATTATAAACAGTTGTTTTGACATATGAACATCAAGAACTTAGATTTGTCAAGAACTTGACTGGCATATGAACTCACATTATAATGGAAGATATCCAGGATCATTGGAATTCTCCCATAATAATGCATTTGAGAACAATATCATAATTATTATTCATTTAATGTTTTTTATTAATTGTACAGTGTAGTGGATATTAGTCAATTTAGGAAAGCATAGGACTGAAACATAAATCTCTTAGTTCTAAATATATTTTTGATGAGTGTAATATAAATATTTTTCATTTAAATTTATGTATAGTGAAAATTAACCAATAATTTCTACCCAAATTTCAAAATATAATTCATTTAATCTTTTGAACTCTATTAGTTACACATGAAGAACCAACATATTAATGTAAGACCAAATCTAAAGAAGTATGAGGCAAAAATGTTTTTGTAACAATTATTTTATATTCAGTAGTAAGAGACGACTTACCGAGAATGTAAATCTGGACCATTCCAAGTAAGCAGTGTCTGTAAAAGAAAATCATTTAATTAGAATGATGTTACAACACCAAAAATTGATATATAGAACTACAATTATTCAGTATTTTCGGTATTATTTAAATCACTTATTCATACGAACGAGACTATGTTTATTCATCATACAGAACTACTAAATTAACAACTTTAGTATTAAATCAAATAAATGCATTTATAATTACCCCTAATTTATAGCCACTTGGAGTCGACCTGAAAAATAGAATAGATTAAATAATGAACAAGGCACATCTGTCTTATACTAATGTAACTTACCTCGTGTTATTTATTTTAAAGGTGGTCAACAAAGGGAAAACAACAATACAGGAATGAGCTTAAAGTAATTCTTTATTTTGATTTGTCCTATAAATTACACTTATGTTGCTTCAGGCACAAAACAAGAATTACTTCTTTGCTGGTTTAGCAGAAGGCGCCTTTTTCGTGCGGATCTTCTTGGCTGGAGTCTTGGGAACCTTTTTCTTGCCGAAGGCACCGCTTCGCGCTGCTTTCACTTTCAAGCTCTTGAAGACTGCTGTTCTTGCACGGTTTCTCTTAACGCGGGCGGAGCTCAACTTAAATCTGTCGTAGTCGGTCATTTGAGCACGCTTCTCTTTATTTGCCAAATTCTTCGCCCACTGACTTTCAGCCCATTTCTCGTTAAGCTTGGCGTCTGACCAGGCCTTCCTGACAACACGTGTGGGGGCAGTGAAGGGATACTTCAGGCGGAATTTTGTAAGATGAAGCTGGTTTAGGCGTATTTGCTGTCGCGATACTCCGCTACCGGGTCCATCGACGAGTGCTCGTGTTTGGTCAATGACATCAACCACGCTCACGAGTTTTCCCTTCAGGGGCCCATCAGCCACCAGGGCAACGCGCCCTGGTTCCACGTAGCGTTCGAATGGCATGACGTCCTAAAACAAAACGAGACTTTTTCACTGACAACATTTTTTACTGCCGACTTTATTTATGTATGATTGTAACGTATATTAAAAGAAACTAAGGATAAACACTAATGGTATTGTTGTTGTTAATCAATGTAAGGCGAATTATAACGTAAAATACATGGTAGAATACTTCGATTAAAACGGATTAAAATTGTTCTAACCTCACAACGTCTTTATAAACACGAAACACTTCAAAGAAAGACTGAAGTAACAGATTGTACAATGTTCATGTGTTTTGACGTTTGACATAGACTAAAATTTAATATAGTTATGTTCTTCGTATATGGCAACATCTGTTATTGCTCTGTTATTTTAATGTTATTATATATTATTTCTCCGTGATTTAAGACGATTATGTTTTACTTTTTCTGACCATTTTAGTTTCGAGTTTTAATTTTAATATTATGGAACAATAAATGTGTTAGGTTATTTTTAAACAAGTGCTGTCCTTAATGCTTATTTTATCCTTAAAAGTTCTCTCGTAGCTTAAAAATTTTACTATATCAAAATTAGAATTATAATATTAATTTAAGTTCCATATTTTTTCTTTAAAATGCCGTTTGTTTTGATTTTGACTCTTGTCGTTGCTAAGTAACGTAATTTTATAAACATTAACACAAATCATCTTGATTTGAAATAGTTTTTACTTCGAGCTAGTTATTTATTAACGGCTTTTAAAAATGCGACTGAAATTTTTTAAGACGCTCTTAGATGCGCAGGTGAGCTTCGATCATAAGGAACACTAAAATACAATTAGGTTTCTTTCCAATAACTAGTGTATCAAATGGGAGAAACTACACCTTTTACGTGTAATCCTTATACATATTACATGCATTTTAATCCTTCAACATATTGTACAATTTTATTTCTAAGTTTTACACTTAACAATGCTTTGACATTAACCAGCATTTGCTTCAGGAATCAGATACCCCAGTAGCCGATATATGTTGGTCACCAAATAATGTAAAATTAGCTGTTGCCACATTTGAACGGGTTGTTCTTTTATTTGACCGCGATGGGATGCGACGAGATAAGTTTAGCACCAAGCCAGCTGATGCAGCAGCAGGAAAAAAATCATATGTTATCACTGGTGTGTTTTAATTTACAATAATAAAAGTACATTTATATTTTATCGTATTCGGTTGACAATATGTAAAAAGTTTATTGACAATGATAATAAATTTGTTAAAATTTTCGTCTTTATTATTGAATCTCATTAAAAATATATTTCAGGTTTAGCATTCAGCGACAATTCGGAATTGCTAGGTGTAGCTCAAAGCGATAACATGGTATTTGTATACCGAATTGGTGCTGATTGGAGCGGCAAAAAAGTGATCTGTAATAAATTTCCTCTCACCGGGTCGCCTTTGCGTTTACTTTCGGCTGATACTGGATTCTTTACAGGAACTAGTGATGGCAAGATAAGGTTTTTTGAAAGGATTTTATTGTAATATATTTTTGAAATTTGTTATTGCAACCTCAGAAACTTTTCGTTCAAAAATTTAATTACGCAGATCTTTGGATTGTAAAACAAATAAGAGCTCAAGTTTGTGGTCCGCGGGATCATGTTGCGTGTCTCTGGCACGCGGTTCTGAGGCGATGTTGGCATCTGGGCACATCGATGGAACTCTTTATCTAAATGGCAGATTAATATTGCGCTACACTCTACCGCCGACAGCCATGGTCTTGGTGTCTTCCTATGTAAGTAATAAGATCACGGAACCATTGCAGTCATTGAATTTTCTATTCGATTATAACTATTTTCGAATAATTTTAAAAAAAAGATATTTTGTAGTAAAGTTTTTAATAGTAGTTGTTGTGAATGATTATTATTATAATTTTATAGCTGATAGTCGGAGCTTGTGATGGTAGAATAACAATGTATGAGGCTCAGAGAGGAGCACTAGTGCGAAGTTTAGAACCAACATTACCTCCTGATAGAAGGGATATCATATCAGCTTCTCTTAGCCCTTCTGGTCAGGTCAGTTATTATAATCACAATCATTAATCAAAATAAAAACAATTCAGTATAATGTTTTTGGGACCTACAAGTGACGAAGACCTTTGTTTTAGACAATAGCATTCGGTGTATTTGATGGTTGTTTGATCGGTGAAATAAAGGAATCCGGAAGTATGGAATTATCCACGTTAAATATATCAAATTTGTATGCTGCGCGATCTTTAGCCTGGAGTGGAGATGGAACCAAATTGGCAGTAGCATCGCAAACTGGTGCCGTTTTGGTTTTTGAAGCGGTTCTGAGGTATTATCAAAAGCCATTATTCATTATTATCCACAAAAAAATATTAAGATAAACCGACCGAAAGATCAAAATTAATATATATACATATATATATTGAAATATTTTGTGTGCGATCAAGGGGATCTGAGAATGGTTTAGATTCACAATTTTGTCCGCTGGACGATATTTTTTTTATAAATTTTTAATTTATTAGTAGTTGTTGATACAAACGTTTTTTTTTGACATTAGATTTGACAACTAACTAATTGTCAATCATTCTGTCACACTTCAAAACACGGAGATTTATGGCTTTAATAGGTAAAATCCAAAATTATAAATAAAAAACGTAACAGACATAATATTTCTTGATTATAGTGCGATACGAAGTTCGCCGGGTCTTCTAGTATATATATAATATATTGCACAGATAACCTTAGATTTATAACTACATAATATAATAGTTTCGTTTTTAATCCAAGGGATACCTATCAATTATTACTTAATTTAATATTATTTTTCTAAGACACTTTAAATACTTAGAGAATAATAGTCAATATTATCATATTACTTTTTCTTAAACAATATGAACTTACGATAATGAAAATATTGAATGCAAAGTTAAACCTTATGACATAACTATGTCAATATTACGTTGAACACCCCAATATTATTATCACCTACATAAAGTGCTTTAACTAGTTGTGTAAAAATTAAAGCAGTTTAAAGATCTCTTAAAATTATGGTTTTAAAATAAATAATGTACATTTCAATTTAAACGTAATAAAATAAAAAATATTATTCGACTTCAAACTTATGATAACTTCCTTTACCCATCTCTTTCGAACATGCACCTTAAACGTATTGCTAACCTATTTGCACATTCACATTTGAATAGGATTACTCACTAGGTGTCGTTATATTATTACTTACTACTTTACTTACTAGCATTGTCAAAATTACCTTGCTTTTTTTTTCGCAACTCAAAATGTGTACGCTATTTAAGTATGTAATTGTTAATGTATGTTAAATGAGTTAATTAATAATAGTGTTATAGTGCGCAGTGTTTTCTAGATATAAATTATAAAGTATGGAAGTTCTAGCGAAGTGACAATTTCACCACTAATTCGTATGATCGTATCAACTAGCCGCGGTTAGATCTTTTTGTGCATTTGTGAACTTTTCTAAAAGAAGAGAGACCCAGTGAGTTTTTTGTATTCTCCAAATACGAACATCTTTATTATTAAAACAAAACCTACAAAGTATCTTATAAATCTTATGTTTTCTTTTTAAGTGTCTGCCGTTATCAAATGCATCCTTTTGTTTACTCAATTTAAATTACATACAGCCCACTTGTTTGTATATTTTATTGTTTTGGACATATTATTTCGTGACTACATCAACGAAAACAAATTATGTACTGACCAAATGAATATACCTACTACATATACTCATTTCGTTAGCAAATTGTTGTCGTTCTTGTAACGACATTTTTGGTCATTTTTTACGTTTTTTAAAGTGTTTTAAATTACACTGGTTACAGAGGAACTACAACGTACTAAATATAAATTTACGTAATTTGCGAAGTATATATAGTAATTTATATTTGTATATTAGCGACCGAATATTGTTTTAAAAAGTCTTAAGATTTTTAGACGGTAATTAATGAGAATTCAAAATTAGTCTCATTTTTTTTTCGTAAATTCGCATACCTAATCGATGTTAAAAAGGCAAATTCGTTAAAAAAAACATTGTCTATTTTTTATACGCATGACTTAAATCAGCTTTATTTTTTTCAAAAATACTCCTTTTTTAAAATTTACAATTATTCCATTTGAATTCATTCATTTTGTAACGTAAGAACTAAGTTTCATGTGTCTCATTATTACTATGGCGGATATATGTTTTTCACCTATTATATTATAATTGCTAATTCTTAATTTATCTGTACTTGAACACCACGTTGTCAACACGTATAACGGGATTCGGGAATAATTAAAATTAGACAACATTAATTATCGTAATAAAATATGGTAAGGTTATAATAGTTGTTTCGCAATTGTCATGAATGAAAAAAATTTAGACAGTTTCTATTCACCTATATCCGATATAATTAAGGCGGCCAACTTTCCGAAAATGAATGCGGGACGTAACCTTTCGTGAATGGGGGGGGGGGGGGTTGGGATTGTGAATGTCATAAAAATCTTCGCAACTGTCCATATTAAATTTAAGTACTCTCTTACGCGTCATGAGTTCAGAAGAAAGAAAGAAAACGAGATTATCGCGGGTGCGATACGCTTGTCCCTATTATAGGTAATCTGTGTTCCTACACTGTTGGCCGTGGTATGGGTGTTGTGTAGAAGTGTCGTAGAAAAATAGGGATGCGGGACGCATACAACGTTTTGCGGGACTATTTTACGAATAATTTCAAAGCGGGACTTCGTCTAGAATTGCGGGACGGTTGGCCGCCTTAGATATAATTTTAATCAGGTGAAGCAGTGATCAAGAAGTGCTAGCAAAAAAGCACAACAAATCAGTGGTGTATACATCTAATATGTGTATTAAGTAAATAAAGGGAATTTGATTGAATGCTATTTAAAATTGGCAAAACATTTTGATGTCTAAACAACTAAAAAGGGACCCAGCTACGATTGATAGTCATGAATGATTAGTCACTATTCACATAGATAGGTCTTTTATAAAACCTATTTGTTGTGTTTATTGTCATGGCCAAAATAAGCATGATTTAAAGTGAGGCTTATTTTTAATTATAAATGGTTCTTTGTGTAGTATTATTTATATAAAGTAACTTGTTTTTCTCCTACACCTCTGTTTCAAGACGCTGGGTGTGGCGGGACCTTATAGAGGTGCAACACGTCAGCACACGTCAGTTGCTGCTTCGACGTCGCGGTGCTGATACTACGCCTCTCCCTGTTACCGCCAAACTAGCCCCCGATATATTCAATGTTAGATTTATTGGTGAGTATAATTGGTTGTAAATGGCCAAAGGTGAAAGATGGAAACAGAAGAAACGGAATTGATGGAATGTGTTTACTAGTCGAGTCCAGTACTTGAAATAAAATTTTTATGCCTAACTCAAGTCAAACTCTCTTCAACATTCGTAAATCTGTATAATGTTTTATCTTTTTATTGAAGCAGGTTAATAGCACCTCAATTGACAAACATTTTTTGCTTACTAATCTTTGGTATTATTTTACTACAGCAAAATATTTGTAGAAAGAGAAGAAAACGGATGGGCCATAGTTAAAGGGATGATGTTCCTTTAAACTTAATAATAGTTTTAATCGGTTATAATTAGTCTGGGGACGGAATTATAACACCGGAATTATAATTAATTCGTAGAATAATCGTGCACGTATTTTATACTGGCACAACTAGTAAATAGTGGGGAGAGTGGAGGCATCGAATGACGCTCTCGGTGGCGTGATCGGTGCACGCGTTGTTTACAGTTTAGCTTGTGTGGCGCGCAGGCGCTGACATATTCTTGTCTTGTGATACGGTTTGAGTTTTTTTTTTTATAGTATAACAATGAATGCTTTTTATTTTATAAATAATTTAACCAACGTCGACTGTTACAGGTAACGATTGGTACGCTGTCTGTCGTACCAGTAATAGTCTGATCCTGTGCGATATAGCTCGTGGTCTAACTAGTGAAGTGAGTTATATTTTCTATCGAACTTCCATATAGTATTAAAAGTTTATATTCATGATTCATGAATACTCTAGATACCATGGTCCGGTGGAGGGGAGCGTATATATGCAGCTGTGGGTGGAGCCTGTCTGTTGCAGCGTGCTGGCGAACTTAGTGTGGTGGAGTACGGCCTCGATAGAGTACTACAAACCGTGAGTATAGATCAAGATCTACACAATGTCAAGTAATTTAATTTATACTAAAATGATTCGTATCTTATGGAGGTTCGTACTGAGCGTGTGAATCCTCACGTGCTCAGTGTCCGTATCAATGAGGGCAGGAAGACGGAGGAAGAACGAAAACACTTCGCCTATCTGCTGGACAGACAGACGATTGGTGTTATTGATCTTGTTACAGGTACGGAACATACATAGGATAGATGTTAGAGTTCCTTTGTTATGGAAAAAAGATTGATGTCGTTGCATTACATATATTTATTATTATTAATGTTAAATGTTGTAGGAGTTCAGCTAGGGCAATGGTGGCACGAAGCTCGGGTGGATTGGTTGGAGCTGAATGAGAGCGGACATCTGCTTCTGTTCCGTGATACTAGACGACGACTTGCACTTCTCCGTATTGATACCGGTGAAAAGGTAGCATATTCATATACAGGGTGACTGGTTAATTACTATCAATATTTAAGGAGAATACTCGGTACATGATTCTCATTCGAATTATGTAAAAAAATAGGCACTTAATTTTTGACCAAATTTCCGTATAAATAAATAAATTGTGGACACGTTCCAAGTGTT